GTCTGACACTGAAAATCCGTTGTATTGTAAAATTCGTTATATCAAAATTCGTTGTAGAAAGAGTTGACTGTATATTCCGTTTGTCTTTATCTTTGGATGATCTTATTTCTCAGAATATTATTTTTTAATATATATTTTATTCTTTATAAGATTCTTAATTATTATATTTATAGAACTACTTGTGCTCCTCCTAAAAAGAGAAATTCAATGAAAAGAGCTCAGGCCCATTTACTGCTTCGCATCCAAAACCTTATTAATGAATGTCATAAAAATGTTGCCTTGTGGTTTCTTTTAAACTTTGATTTTATTATTATACCACCTTTTAATGGATCTGCTATGTCTATCGTCTTAATAGAAAAATCAATCCAAAAACAGTTCGCAAAATGCTTAACTGGGCTCACAGTCAATTTCGTAATCGTCTTTTTTTCAAGGTTGAAGAATTAGGTAAAAATATAATTATTCAAAATGAAGCATATACAAGTAAAACTTGCAGGTTGTTTATTTTCTTTTTCACATTTATTTTCATTTTTTCGTCATTTTTAATATCTATTTGCTTTATGCAGTTGTTTAAATATAACCTGGGGTGGCAACAAATTGTTTAAATGTAATGTATGTGAATAGTGATGGATAGGGATATTAATGGTGCTCGGGGAATTTTTCTTCGGGCTTTGCTTGATGGAGCCTTGATTCTCTCCGGAGATCACGCAGGAAATAATAGTCATACTTAGTATTACCTATTATTGATGTATTACAATTCATCCGAAGACTAATTCACTATCATTACATAATTCATTCTACTGACAATATTTTTTTAATTCAAATAATTATTTACGTTAATATCGATTATAACTCATAATGGGATGAGATTTTCTTTCTTTTCATGATAGATCAACTTTGTATTTTGAACTTGAAATAAAAACCATGAAAATATATTATGACTAATTTTAACTTATCAATTTTAGATTAGTTTAAAAGGAATCGATCTGAAATGAGTTTTCGATGGCGCTAATTATGTCATTTTCCTTCTTAAACTTATTGTTCATAACACAAAGAAAATCAATAATAGAATTCTCGAAAGAATTCAAAAGTGTTAGAATTCTAATTTGAAAATCAACAAGTATATTCGAGGCAACTCTCCCGAAGAATTCCTACTTTAACCGGAAAATGTTAATCCAAACCGTGAAATTCAATTAATAAGATGGAATTTAAGACTACATATAATCAAATTCCTTGACCCAACTCCACAAATAAAATCTAGTCCTATGACAAAACGATTATTAAAGATATAAATGTCCCTGCGGAATGAATACTCTACAACAGGTTTATTTTACCAGCAATATTGTAAAGTTGTTTCTCAAAGTATATTGGTTATCTAACAGATAATAATTCGTATTTGGATGTACTTATAATTACAAGAAATGTACAAAGTAATGAAACTAGGAATACAAAATTTTGCACAAAAGACATTCATTAATGTTGTGAAAATTGCTTCGATATTTTATATTTCAAACAAATATATGCAAGAAATGATTCAGCGCTCATTAAAGCTTATAAAAAGATATATTTCAAAATAATAATGGTTATAAATTATGTGGAAAGTTAGTGATTTTATGTCAATATAATCAACTGTCTTACGCCAAACTTACAATAGTTTGTTGGACTATAAATGAATTATGCAACATTCATTTTAGACATTTAGACAACATTTCTCTCGCTTTCCTCTCTAATTCGATAAATTTATAAGAAAAGCTAGCAATAATTCAGATATTGGGACAAACATGGCAATTACGACAATTGCAACAACATCTTGTAGTGATGAAATCTTATGATAAATCTTCGCAGATCACAAATCGAAAAGGAGCTTGTAGGAGATAATAACTATTTTAATTATAATTTCGAAATCAAATACAAAAAAAAAAAATTCTTTTATTTCATACAAACATTGAAATAATGGCCAATTTTATCAATACCATTGTCGCACCTGTGGAGGAATGGTCCGAAAAAAGAATAAGCGAAGCAATCCCAGTTTAGCAGAAGAAATTCCTACCGATAGGGAGGTGTTATATGCGAGAACCCACAAGACAAGCTATAAGGTAAAGATACCGAGGTGAGTCAGCAATAACTGCTTTACAGAAAGTAAATAGCTAGAAAGGAGTTATATGTGGCTCCAAAGCTTCATAAGCATAATGCCTGCAAAAAAATAACCATTTCACGACTTTTATTTTAATTTTTTATTTTGCAGCAGTAGCATAACAAGAAAATTGACCACGTTCATATGAAGAAGTAATGTCTACGAAGAATAAGTGTAGAGCCATATCTAGTTAGTGTCTACCGGTAGGGAGGTGCTATATACGAGAATCACAAGATAAGCTATTAGTTTATGAACCTAAAAGACATTACAAGCATGCTGGTAGCAGCAACAGGAGTGTCACACAAAATTCATGCGTTTCATTTTTAGGGACTTTGGTTTTCGGTATTGAATAATCTACTCGTCAACATGTGTGCCACAATTAATTCTAGCCAAATACCGAACATTATTTGATGCATACGCAGGGCGAAGTCTACAAAAGGAGGTTCACCACTCCATATAACGATAGCTGTGACAGAAGGCATTGGTTCAGGATCTGCCTATTGGAGCTTTAATATTAAGTTTCGTTAAATTACTTTTTGAAGGATTATATCACACGCAAAGCTGATCTCACGAAGTAATGAATATATTGAAAACCTCTACTAAAAAATTGATAAGACAAAAACTTGTTAGAATTATCGCATTCGGAATAATAAAGGATTAGACCCATTTTATGAGTGATAAAGGCGATAAATAGAAAATTTTTAACTAGATATTTCGACGTAGGTGATTTGTTTAAAATTTATTTTTTTTTTTGCGGAGCTGAGGTAGAAAAATAACTCGGATAAATAAAGTCGAATAAACTTTACATTATTATTAAAGATTATTTTATAAAATATATATATATATATATATAATGCTACGATGGTTGATATTATTTTTATTTTTATTTTTAGATTATTAAAGTTTTTAGTTAAGAAGTCGATAATTTATTTTAGAGATTGCAAAAAAAATGAGTTTTCTATTGACGAAACGCTAAGATCTTTACGGGATAATCGTCGCACTAAATGGATACATAAATGTGGTGTAACACTTAACAATTAACATGCATACAATGGTTTTAAATTAATTTTCTCAATGATTTATTTCTTTTTATAATTTTAACTTTTAGTAAACTTTCTATAAAAAATGTCTATCGAATGCTTGCAAGGAGTCGCTAATGATTATGAAAGGTTATTTGAAAATGACAAAAGATATGATGTCATTATTTATGCCGGTGAAAATGAAAACCT